ACCTCCATCTCTTCATTGTCGGAGATCACTACTTCTATGTCTTTCTCCATTTTTGCAAAAACAATTGATTCTCGAGTCACTTATTGCGCTGAAATGTCACCGTACTATGACCCGGCAGTGACATCGGTCCTCATTATATATCCCGGTCATCCCTTTGTTCATGCAATGATGCAATTATCTCCGAAAGATGATCTCCGACGAAACAAAAAATAGCGGCTGCTCAGTAGTTGTCTATCGACATGTTTACACCTTCCGCGAAGACATATCTACTCTCTCTCTCAGAACACGTTGATATCACATATGTTGTACACCTATTTTATCACAGAAAAGATAAATAGGCTGCCGACAAAAAATCTGGCGATGATGATGATGATGATGATGATGACGGTTCTCTCCTATCTGACTCCTCCTCCATTTCTTGGTCAGAATCATTTTCGGATGATTGTGTTTTGCATGACACCGATGGTGAAGGCATGTCCATGTAGCCAAATTCATAGTTGTCCACAGTGAAATAATCGACACAATTTTTGTATCGACGTTGACAACATGCGACTCGCTTGTGTCGCTTAGACGTTCTGGTGCATTTAGATAAATCACCAGCCACTCTTACAATGTCTTCATGCGTTTCCAGGAACTGGGCTACACGTCTTGTATGCAGTTTTCGCACACCAAGTTCGCGATTTTGTACATATTGTACAATTGAAGTCACCGCTTCACGTTTATTACAAAACGGGTTATTTTTTTTTTCATTGTGACAGCATACCTCGAGATGTCTATACCATCTCTCAGCAGTCTTATAACACCCCTTCTCATGACACTCTGCATGATTTTGCGGTGCGCTCTCTATTTTTCAATGTCTTTTCACTTATTCGCACTTTTAACCTCAGCCTATTTTCGCTGACATTCGCTGCAATCCCTGATCATCGGTGCAGGACCGTCAATATGCGTTCGCATCCACGGCCGATTGTAGTGTTCGAGGCAGCGACGATATGTCTGAACCTCCGGATCCGTCTTAATGTGCTCTGGCAGTTTTTCCCACAAATGCTCTACGAAATATCCGCACTTTTGCAGTAAAACAATCTTCGGAATATATTGCAACTGTTCGGCACTTAAACTGAGAATGTCGGAAGCACTTGATAGTATTATTTAATAATCGTTTATGTCCCGAGTTCTTATGCACCGGCGCAGGCGAGGATCTGTGTGTGTCAGTGGGTAAATAATCAAAATCGGTTTAATATGAGAACTGATATAATTGCTGCGTTTGAGTTCGCTACAGAATATTCGCGGTATACATCCGCACGCGACAGCAGTCGGAAACCGAATCTCCTGATCGCGCGTTACATTTCCTCTTGTCGCCTATCTTCTTGACATTCGAGAATCTTCTCACCTAATCTTTTTCACTCGTGTTATTATTCTTTTTTCTGTCTCGATGCTAGTTGTCAAACGTCTCGTCTGTTATGTTTTCTCTTTACTGGTTTATTTTGTCTCGTTTTTGTTTTCGTCCTTTTGTATGTCTCTACTTATACCCGGGGAATATGTGACGATATTATCGCCACAGGACTCCCCCGCCAGTGCTATACGGATAGCACGATATTCTGATGCGTGGACGCTGCGAGTTACATTTTCTTTTTTTCTCTCGACGTAACACTGCACCTGTCTACCACAACACCATAAAGAAATTCGCTAGTATGTGATCATAATACGGTCGTTCGTGCTCGCCTATGCGTACGCGTGTCAATTCCTTGGGAACAAAACAAAAAAAACTAAATGGAATACAATGGAACAGCGATATAAATACAGAAACACTAATAGGTCAAGGGAAATAGTCGCTCTCTCGGAACCTCGCGACCCGAAATAATTGTTCTCGCCTCCGCGTCACAGGCCCGCCTGGAAGTGGTCCGGAAACCGAACCTTTCTTCCTGCTCTCGTCGTCGTCTCGCCCCGTCGGCGAGGCGGCCTCGCGCCCTTGCGCATATCTCGATCGACCTCTGCATCCCGGCCTTGCGCCGTCGCCTCCGTCGGGCCCCTATCTTCCGTCTCGTACTCTGTAACCAGATAAGCGGGTTTTATGCGATCTATGGAGATCGCTTTTTCTTTGCCGTGCATACGCACGACAAAGACTTTGTCGCTGCGGCTGACAACCTCGTACGGTCCCTCGTATGGCGCCTGCAGCATCTTCCTCGGTCCGTCGCGTCGCACGAACACCTGCCCGGCCGTCGCTAGGTCTTTGTAAACGAACGGCCGTCGCTCCCCGTGTCGGGTTCCGTCCACCGGCCGCAGTCTCTCGAACTGCTCACGTAGCGTCCTGACGAGGTCGACGGCGCTGTCCTCGTTGTCCGTCGGCAGCCGGCTTAGGAATTGTCCCGGGATCCTTAACGTCTGTCCGTACACCAATTCGGCTGTGGTCGCCTGTAGGTCGTCCTTCCACGCTGCTCTAATCCCCAGCAGGACCGTCGGCAGCGTCTCCGTCCAGCGGTCGCTCTGCTGGCACTTGATCGCCGCTTTGAGCTGGCGATGAAACCGCTCGACCATTCCGTTCGCCTGCGGGTGGTATGCCGTCGTCCTCAGTCTTTCCGCTCCCGTCATCTCGCTCAGTCGTCGAAACAGACTGGACTCAAATTGAGTCCCTTGGTCTGTCGTGATTCGGAGGGGTGCCCCAAACCGGCAGATCCATCCCTCGTAAAAAACCCTTGCGATCGTCTTCGCCTCCTGGTCTCGTACGGGGAACGCCTCCGGCCACCTCGTGAAACGGTCCACGCACGTGAGGCAATATTGCTTGCCCTCCGAGACCGGCATCTTGATGATGTCCAGGTGGACGTGCTCGAACCTGTTGGATGGTACGGTGAATTTTCCCAAGGGCGCCGACACGTGTCGAGACACCTTGGATCGCTGGCAGGGCACACAAGAACGAGCCCAATTGCGGCAGTCCACTCTCATCGACGGCCAGACGTAGCGTTGTGCCACGAGTCTGCCCGTCGACTTGATCCCTGGGTGTGCCAGGCCGTGCACCAGGTCGAATGCGGTCCGACGGAAAGACCTTGTCAAATATGGCCTTGGTGTCGGCGTCGCTGTGTCGCAGTAGATCGCGATTCCGGTTCCGGGGATCTCCACCTTGCTCAGCTTTAGTCCCGTCTCCCGTCGCAAATACTCCTCGAGCTCCTCATCGGTCCTCTGTGATTCCGCCAGTGCGGCGTAATTCATAGGAGCTTGGAGCTCCTCGATTCTCGATAGCGCGTCCGCCACGACATTCTCCTCGCCCGTCACGTGCCGGATGTCCGTCGTAAACTGTCCGATGTAGTCTAAGTGGCGGAACTGGCGCGGCGTGCTTTTCTCCGGTTTCTGTCGGAAAGCAAAGGTGATTGGCTTATGGTCGGTATATACCGCGAACGCGCGCGCTTCCAACATGTGCCGAAAATTCTTGACCGCCAAGTATATCGCCAGTAGCTCTCTATCAAAGGCGCTATACTTCGATTCGGCTGGGCTTAGCTTCTTCGAGAAGAAAGCTAACGGCTCCCAGCCGTCGCTGCCCCGCTGTTGTAATGCCGCGCCGACGCTTTGTTCGGACGCGTCAGTAAACAACGCGAGCTCCGCGTTCGTCCTCGGGTGCCTCAGAAGCGCGGCCTCGGCCAAGCCTTCCCTCGATGTTTCGAATGCTCGTTGAGTCTGCTGCGTCCACGATATCGGCGTCTTGCCCTTAATGTTCTCTCGAAGAAGATCATTGAGCGGTGCCAAAATCTCGGCAGCTTTAGGCATGAATCTTCGGTAAAAATTTACCATGCCCAAGTACCTCCTCAATTCCTTCGCGGTCCTCGGCATCTGACACGCGAGGATTGCCTCCACTCGCGCCGGCAGCGGTCGTGTTCCTTCGTCGGACACCTCGTATCCGAGGAATTCCACCCTTCGTTGTCCGAATACGCACTTCGTGGGGTTGATCACTACCCCGTATACTCGCAAACGCTCAAACACCGTCCGTAGGTGCTCGTGGTGTTCTTCCTCTGACGATGACGCGACGAGGATGTCATCGATGTATGCGTAGCAGAATTCAAGGTCGCGCAAAACCTCATCGATGAACCGCTGAAACGTCTGTGCCGCGTTGCGTAATCCGAACGACATGTATGGAAATTCATACATGCCGAACGGCGTGGTGATCGCCGTCTTCGGGATGTCCTCCTCCGCTACCGGTATCTGGTGGTATGCCCGCACTAGGTCCAGCGTGGTAAAAACTTTCCTACCGCCGAGGGCCTGCGCGAAATCCTGTATATGTCGCACCGGGTAGCGATCCGGGACCGTTCGCGCGTTCAGCGCCCTGTAGTCTCCACAGGGTCGCCACTCTTCGTCCTTTTTTGGCACCATATGTAGGGGCGCCGACCAACTACTCCTTGAAGGTCGCGCGATTCCAGCTTCCACCATCCTTCTGAATTCGTTCTTCGCGGCCGCCAATCGGTCCGGAGCGAGCCTCCGCGGCCTACACGCGACAGGCGGTCCCGGTGTCGTTTCTATATGATGTCGCGTTGTGTGGATCGCTTCTCTTGGGCGCCCGTTTGGCCTCGCGATGTCCGCGTATCGCTCCAACAACCGGTGATACGGCGTCTCTCCCGTGACCGCTTTGACGCAGGGTGCATCGCATCGGATGCATCGTCCGCGCGCGGTCAAGCTCGTCACCTGGTCGACGAGACGAGAATTTCGCAGATCGACGAGGAGTCCGTAATGCGCCAGAAAATCGGCGCCGATTATAGGTCGCGAAACGTCCGCGATCACGAATCGCCACAAAAATGCACGCCGTAATCCAAAATTTAAAACTAATGTTTCTGTCCCGTATGTATATATTGGTGTGCCGTTCGCGGCCGAAAGTTCGTAGGTCGATCTCTGTCGCGGTCCTCGAACCATTTTCCGAGGATACACGCAGAGATCCGCGCCCGTGTCAATTAAAAAACTCACTTTAGTGTTCGCGTCGGTTACGAACAGGCGACGCGCCTCGTGGCCCGAGTCACTCGCCGCCACTAGCGACCGGCCCCCGCGTTTCCCGACTGCATTGTGCAGGGCGGCCTGCATTGTCGAGCACTCGGTCCAAATTGCCAGTGATACCAGCAGATTCCACTGGCCGGCGGATCACGGCTTCCTGATCGCTCTCGCGGGCGCGAATGCGAACGCTGGCGTGGACGCGAACGCGAACGTCGTCGGTCGTCATCGCGGTCCTCTCCGAAACGACCGCTCCCGATCGCCTCGATCGACCGCCGGATGGCTGTCAGCTGCTCCGCCATCTCTTGTTGCATGGCCAGCCGCATCTGCGCGAGTCGTACTTCCATCCTCGCTTCCCAGGACGCGGGGTCAACCGCACTCTGACCCTGGGGCGTCACAAATTTCGTCGCCTCCGCCACTTGAAATATCGGCGCACGGGTCGCCTCGACTATCGCATCCGCGATGTCCGCTAATTGTTCGGGCGTATCGGCCGCGCGCGTCACTAAATGCGGCTGAAGATGAGCCGGCAACCGACTCAACCAGATGGTTCGTAAAATCTGGTCGCCGACCACGTTTCCGGCGAGACCGCGAAGGTGGCGCAAAAATTGCGAGGGCTTTCGATCGCCGATCTCCTCGTGTTCGAGGAGCCTCCGAGTTTTCATGCAATGATGCAATTATCTCCGAAAGATGATCTCCGACGAAACAAAAAATAGCGGCTGCTCAGTAGTTGTCTATCGACATGTTTACACCTTCCGCGAAGACATATCTACTCTCTCTCTCAGAACACGTTGATATCACATATGTTGTACACCTATTTTATCACAGAAAAGATAAATAGGCTGCCGACAAAAAATCTGGCGATGATGATGATGATGATGATGATGACGGTTCTCTCCTATCTGACTCCTCCTCCATTTCTTGGTCAGAATCATTTTCGGATGATTGTGTTTTGCATGACACCGATGGTGAAGGCATGTCCATGTAGCCAATTCATAGTTGTCCACAGTGAAATAATCGACACAATTTTTGTATCGACGTTGACAACATGCGACTCGCTTGTGTCGCTTAGACGTTCTGGTGCATTTAGATAAATCACCAGCCACTCTTACAATGTCTTCATGCGTTTCCAGGAACTGGGCTACACGTCTTGTATGCAGTTTTCGCACACCAAGTTCGCGATTTTGTACATATTGTACAATTGAAGTCACCGCTTCACGTTTATTACAAAACGGGTTATTTTTTTTTTCATTGTGACAGCATACCTCGAGATGTCTATACCATCTCTCAGCAGTCTTATAACACCCCTTCTCATGACACTCTGCATGATTTTGCGGTGCGCTCTCTATTTTTCAATGTCTTTTCACTTATTCGCACTTTTAACCTCAGCCTATTTTCGCTGACATTCGCTGCAATCCCTGATCATCGGTGCAGGACCGTCAATATGCGTTCGCATCCACGGCCGATTGTAGTGTTCGAGGCAGCGACGATATGTCTGAACCTCCGGATCCGTCTTAATGTGCTCTGGCAGTTTTTCCACAAATGCTCTACGAAATATCCGCACTTTTGCAGTAAAACAATCTTCGGAATATATTGCAACTGTTCGGCACTTAAACTGAGAATGTCGGAAGCACTTGATAGTATTATTTAATAATCGTTTATGTCCCGAGTTCTTATGCACCGGCGCAGGCGAGGATCTGTGTGTGTCAGTGGGTAAATAATCAAAATCGGTTTAATATGAGAACTGATATAATTGCTGCGTTTGAGTTCGCTACAGAATATTCGCGGTATACATCCGCACGCGACAGCAGTCGGAAACCGAATCTCCTGATCGCGCGTTACATTTCCTCTTGTCGCCTATCTTCTTGACATTCGAGAATCTTCTCACCTAATCTTTTTCACTCGTGTTATTATTCTTTTTTCTGTCTCGATGCTAGTTGTCAAACGTCTCGTCTGTTATGTTTTCTCTTTACTGGTTTATTTTGTCTCGTTTTTGTTTCGTCCTTTTGTATGTCTCTACTTATACCCGGGGAATATGTGACGATATTATCGCCACAATTACAAACATTCTGAATGAAGCGTGCGCTCGCCAGTGGTACTATGGCCCGGCAGCTGCATCGGTCCTTATTATATATCCCGATCATCCCTTTGTTCGTGGGGATGATGATGCAATTGTTAATTCGCGAGAAATATTTGTGTGATATCTTCGGAGAAAATTTAGATATCGCTGATAATTCTTAGAAATACATAGATAAATTTCACCCCGTCGGATCGACACGCCGGATCGGATTAACATGTCGCAACTTGTACGGATCAACCCGCTTGATTGTCGGCAAACCTTTTGTTCTTAGTAATTCGCAGAATTATCTTATCAAACTTAGATATCCGATTGTCGGCGCTCAGCCTAAAAAACGGCGGCAGCCATTTGCAGAATTTTTATCTTATCAAATTTAGATGAAGAAACGCAACCCCCTTGATTGTCGGCGCTCAGCCTAAAAAACGGCGGCAGCCATTCGCAGAATTTTTATCTTATCTTCGGAGAAAATTTATGAAAACTTTGATACCGCTCAAGCTTATCTTTGATACCTTACAAAGACGCCGCTTATCTTGGATTCGAAAACTTAGCTTATCTTATCTTGGATTTTCGGAGAAAATTTATGAAAACTTTGATACCGCTCAAAGACGCCGCTTATCTTATCTTATCTTGTTTATGAACATATCAGGTAACATGATCCCCTTATCTTATCTTGTTTATAAATATATCAGGTAACATGATCCCCTTATCAGGTTATCTGATATGTTTATAAACAAAGATAAGCTTATCTACTGATAAGACCCCCTCCCCCGCGTGACGTCACCCCCCTCGCCCCCGATTCCCCCCCGCCCCTCACTCCCCCTCATTGCCCCCGGGTTAGAACCCCCCTAGTATCCCTACTCTTTATCCTAACGAAACTAAATTTTTTCGTTAGAATTAAATATCTGTACACAAGGCACCAAATTTTACTTGAACACGGCCAAGATTTAAGATTTTTCTCTCACATTTTATTTCCTTAGGGGGGAAGAGGGGATGTATGGAATTAAAATCTCTTGTAGAGATTATTCCAATTTTAAATCTTGGCCGTGTCCAAGTAAAATTTGGTGCCTTGTGCACAGGTATTTAATTCTAACAAAAAAATTTAGTTTTGTTAGGATAACGCACTGTCATCCTCGATTTGGCTTTTATTGCCTGTCTTATACGTAATTTTATATTTCTATTTTTATAATATATTATGGTATTAAAAGAAGATCTACGTATTAGATTATCAATTTATTCTATTCAGTGTTCACAGATTGATTATCGTTTCTTCTTTCCCGAGTACAAGTTATTGATCTTACAC